GGGGGGGCTCCTTTAGCATTAAAATCATTGGTATGAGTCAAATTGGGCAACTCCAGGCTTCTTAATCAACCTCCAAGTGTTGGGAGCAGAAAGGGATGCTGGACCATCTCTTCAGCTACTGCATTTTCCACATGAAGAAACTGAGGCAGAGGCCACTGGGTCTGACCCGAGGCTGCTGGGCAGGGCCAGGGTGAGAAGAGCCTGAGGTCTTAGATCCTGCTGCCCACTTCTGGGGCATCAGGATTTAGAAAATAGCGTCATTAATGTCAAACCCGCAGAGCAGGAGGAGGAATTCCATCCCTCATTCTGGAACATGGGGATTAAAGATGTAATATGAGAATCTCATTCCCCCTTTGCTGGACAATTTTTAAGAGAAGGGTAGCACTTGAGCTGGCAATATGACATCACTCTGGAAGCTTAATTTGATTCTAGTGATTTGCTGTTATAGGTCACCTTTCTGTTAAAGAGACATGCTTTGCCCAAACACCAAGGTTTCTGCTCAGTTTCCTCTCCATAGCCTCCCTTTACATGAAGAGCAGAAACAATACAGACAAATTAGGTAAAATCCATGCAGGTTATTTAAAACAGACAAAAAAGCAAACCTCCTTCGTACCGACACTGAAGTTTCAGCTTTCTTTCTCACTAAACCCTCTATCACAGCTGCTAAAAATGAGGGCTGAAGCGTAAAGGGCTGATAGCAATTCCAAGGGGAAAAAGTTTGTAGTGTGTTAAAGAAACATCATCTTAAAACAATTCCAAACTTTAAAATTCCCAATTCCTGAATTCTGATAAACAGATTAGAAGTCTTGTTTGCCAAACCTCAGAAGTAAACCTACACCAGACTGTTGACACCACACAGTATTTGAACACTGCTGCATGACTTTCCAACTCAAAAAGTTCAGTTAAAAGAGCACCTTTGTCCAAGAAAAAGCACATTTCTATTAAGTAAATGATTAATGTCGCAAAATTAAAAATCCTGAATATCAGAGCTTACAATTTAAGTAGCTTTACCCTCCTTCCCCTCCTCTTCCCCTTTCTCTCCAATCGAAACCTTATAACTGGCTGGTAATTCACCCCAGTGGTCAACTCTTACGGTCAGCTTTTTCTGAGACAATTTCCTAAGTTGCAAGGGCAAGTAAGCCCATTCAAATGCTAACACCCCAGTTGAGCAGGGCGAGACAAAGGGCTAGTTGGGAGACTAGTGAGTTGGGAATGCTTGAAAAACTTGCCAGAAATGCCTGTAGAAAAGAGAGGCAGCTAAACACTAGTGCCTTAGGTAGAGTGTTTTCTTGAAGCGTCTCTGTAGCAAAACCCCCTCTCCATGGGGTGAGTCCTGGTCATAGGGGTTTGGTATGCTCCTCAGTTGTTTTGGATGTGCCTAATGACTCTTACACCCTGGAATCAGGATGGAAGGAGAGGGGGTGGGGGAGGGGAACTGAGTGGGGGAGGGCTGTGGGGGTGGGTAACAGGTTTTCACAATCAGGTAGTTTATGGAGGAGCATCTGAAAGATGGCAAACTGTGTGTTCCTACATGGGCCCCCCCACCCCCGCCCCACAACAACTAACCTGGTATATTGGTTACTGTTAAGAAAGACAGCCTCTCCATATGCAGGCTTCAGGTTAAAAAAGAGCCCAAGACTGGGGTGACAGGTGTGGGCTAGGCACTGACGACTTAAAAAAAAAACTTGTATATTCATCCTGCAACAAGGCGATATGCTAATTTCTCTAATGAAAAACCCAGCTCTGCAGGAAAACGGGTCCCCCCAAACTCCCCAGCCTGTGAGGGCAGCCCTCACACTGAAAAGCACACCAAAAAAGCCAACCGCACCCCTGGCTGATTTTGCCTATTCACCAGACATTTTACTGGGTGAACGCAGGCTGCTAAGACGTTAACAGAGAAAAAAACAGAACACTTAATGCCATGGAAAGGAACACAGAACCGCTGTTTTCACACTAAGTAGAAATGTCAGCTTTGGGGAGCCCCATTTCACTTAGGCAGTTTCACGCTTTCAAGCCAAAGCCAGGGCGCACCGGACCCTTCTACAAGTCCTCGGCAGTCTCCAGACTTGTGGACATTTCCCCGCTGCCCAGGGAAGCCCCCTTCCCGGTATTTACTAGTGAAGACCAGAACAGCATCCAACAGCCATTAGTCAGCGCCGCAGCCCAGAAGTTCTGGGGCTCCGCGACGCCTTTCCCAGGGAAGAGACCTGGAAGGAAAACCCTTTAACGTGGGTTCCTTCTGGCCGCAACCTTATCTTGAGTCTAAGAACCTGACCCGTCCTCTTTTCAAGTCTCAAAACGTTTCACTTCCCCCCCAAATCATTCTCATCAGAATAGCTCAAACCAACGCCAAACGAGACGCGCGCGCACCAAGATAAGGCCAATTTCCAAATCGGGTGAGGTTTTGTAAATACATTTCACTAACCAGTCTTTTCCCCCAGGACTGGTGAGAAAGGCACACTTGCCGCACCGAAGATGCGTTACCGGATTACGGCCGTTTTTGTGCTCCGACGCCAGGGCAGCTTCGCCTCCAGGTTACAGATTCCAAACTTAGCTCCACCGGAGCTGAAAATGGCCGGTGCGCGCAGCCTCGCCCTCCCCCCTCCCCTCCCCTCCTCTCCCCTCCCCT